AATGCTGACTAAATCTTAAAAGATTCAGTGAACAAAGACAGTGAAATTATGGTTGAAAATCACCCTTTTTAAGTCATGTAAAAGCGAATAGATATTGACAGTGACAGACAGCACCGGCGGCTCCCAGACTATTTTATCACCACCCAAAAAAACCTTTAGAGTTTTTTTTGGAGTAATCAACCAGTCTGTGTCCCACCCTCATCCACAATACCAGTGCAAGTCAAACTGCACTCACCATAGAAACCACCCATAGTATGTCATCCGCTTATAGTGATTGGAGGAGAGAAAGGGGCTATTGTTAAAAACTCTCAGAATGAGATGAAGAGCAAAGGACGTAACTCTTCCCCTGCTTTGGCACTGCCATCAAACAAACAGCGACAATCAAAACTCAAAACAGCGCTCTGTGGCACAACCGCACAAACTGCAAACCACTGGGAAAAGCCAGAGACTTTAATCCTTAAGCGCTGAAGCAATCGTGACATTATGTTCTCAAACGGTTCGAAAAAATGGTTTATGCATCCTGTGCGGGAAGACGACATCATTTTGTCCTGTACCCACCCACCTGTAGCATTACCTCGAAATGAGACGCAAGCGGGGCTTCCCCTCGGCAGCGGCCCTTTGCACGCTGGCAACAGGAAACATCTGGTATAATTAAACACCTCGAGCCATGCCCTATTAAGCATCAAACCCGATAAAACCGCACAGGTTAGGTCTCTTCACGGTCACTGGACACTTAGTTCCCACCAGCAACGATGCACAGGCTCACAGGGACACAAGCATGCATTTTTTTAGGCTGCCAATTATGTTGCAAAAACCACTATTTTTTTCACTATCTTGAAAAAGCATGATTTCGCACCATCAGTATAGACCTTTTCAGCGCTGCGCTCGTTGTCTTTTGTCTTCCGGTTTGTATTTCCACAGCGATCTTCCATATTTATGAATGAACAGCTCATTTTAAAATCTTCCCGGTCTACTGACATTTGTTAAGACCTCTGCTTTAAAAATTACACAGCTTGTGATGACTTGCGTTAACTCTACAATAAGTAAATCCATTCATTCACTAGCTAATTACTCTTCGACTAACCTGGGAAAACCAAGACAACTTCCGGCAAATTTAGATTTGCTCTGAAAGTTAGTCTGGCAAAGAGCTCATTCAAGCCCATTTCCAATCCGTCGAATTTGTGGCACTAATCAGAAACGTTGGGGCGGGCTTTACACGATGACGACAGCGCTGGGATTTTGAAGCAGATTTTGTAGCCTACATTACAAAGATGGATGCCGCCGTCGAACATCACTCGTTCGAATCAGCTATCGCGTCTGTTTTAAGCGGTTTGAACGTTTCCTTTTAGTTAAAAACCGAGCAGAGAACAACACTCGGAGATGTTTCTCCGCCGCTCTGCATCCGTCATCTCCTTCATCGCTCTGATTGGGTTTAGGTCTATCCGCGACGCCCGTTGGTGACGCCCCTCTGGAAATGATTTGTCTATGACGCTTTGCCAGACCATAACTCAGTTACAAGCCACAAGCAAACAGGAATACGTGCTAAAAAGGGAAATCATAATGTTGCTGGCTCTGCCAGTAATGAACTTCTGACCTTGTGGTCAGTGAGGCTACGAGAGGTCACTCACCTGACCCGACTCTAACCCTCTTACAGCTTGTTGCATCATGTCTGAGCAGAGCTTCTTCACATCACAAAATGACTCATACTCTCATAGTCAGCCTTTAAAATGCCCACCACGATGAGGCACAATGAGATAATTGCTCTGATCTAAACCACACTACAACAAGATGTGATGTACTCTTGAGTACAATCTTGAGTCCTCCTAACAAAAACTCGATAAGTGGGACATCTTTTTATAACACTTAAAAGAAGATATTGACCCATACTGACTTTTTATGACCAATAGTATTAAGTGTCTGACAACATTATTAAATTAAAATGATTTTTTATAGCTTTTTGATGCAATTATGGCTAAATGTTCATTAGCTCATACGAATTAAAACAAAAACTAGGCTTATATAACTAATATAATAGTACAAAAAGCAATGCTGATAAAAATTCATAAGATAATTACTCCTAATAGAAGTAGTAGCATTGTTGTTATGAGTCATGATATTATAATTGTGCAAAGTTGCTTTACAATTCAATTGGTCGCAAAGTAATTTTTCAAATTAATTTTCTCTTTCTCTAACTGGCCATCTAGTTAAACAGTACTTATTTATCATTTATTTGAGAAATAATGGCTATTTAATAAAAAGTACATAATTAGTTTCTTGTGTTAAGTTAAAAGTAAAAACACTAGTCAAACCATTCAGTCTTATCCTTGGTTTAAGAGCCTCTAAATATTTAGATAAATTAATTTTAATTTTTTGTGTCAAAATCATTCAAATTCACAGCAAATTACCAAATGATTAGTTCAGACCAATTTATGAATGTTTCAACCATGAAGTCAAGTAACTGTCAATCACCAGTCAAACATATTCGGGTCAATGACATGGCGTGCATATTTTTGTGTCCAAGTGCATTATTTGCTTTTAAAATAATTTGATAATTCGTGACATATATCACTTTATTCTATAAAACCTATTTAGTTTGAATTCATTTTTAGTACATTTAAATAACACATTATTTCATGTTCTGTTATCCTAAACCCTCCAAATTAAACGGTGTATTATTAATAATAATAAAAAATACTATGTCATCATTTTAGGTTTGAAACCTAAACAAATTTTATAAATATCAGTAGTTTAAAATCTGTTGAGATAATAATGAAAAAAAAATAGTTGTACAGCAATTTGTATAATTCTCAAATGTGAGGGTGGCACAACTGCAAACATAGCTCTTTTATTATAAATGACCAAGGCAACAGTAAACATGATGATGATGATGATGATGCATCATCCAGAGGAGCTCAACTGATCCTTCAATGTGGCGGAGTCAAGAGGTTTGTAGATCTCTCTCAAATACTGGTCAAAACTGCTCATTTCAAGTATGGGTAGGTTGGTACACTTCCCATGTCAGGTGGTACAACTACAGTTAGGGGTGGGCGCTATACCGGTATGAACGTGAATACCGGTATTATGTTGTGCCATGATATGGATTTTGCGATACCGAGGATACCGTATTCATAAATTCAAATTTTGCAGTTATATTGTTTTGTTCAATTTGGTACTCTTTACAACTGTTAACACTAATGACGATACAGAATCGAATACGCTGTTTAAGGAAGTGGCTGATTTGGCGCTTCATACGCGTGAAGTTGCTGAGGCGATTAACCGCTGTCCTGTGACGCGTTCAATGAAGGACCGTAACGTAGAACACATCGCTAGTGCTAAGCGACTGTTCATAAAGGATGCATATTTTGCGGTGGAATGGGAAATAACAAGGTAATAAAACGCAAGTTTGACTTTTAACTTGAGCGCAGCATTTTTAGAATGCCGTTTCATTTGCGAGACGCGGGTGCAACACCAAAACAAGTTCGTCAAGCACAAAAAAACTTTAAAGTTCCAGGCTACTGTATGTTTGAGATGTCATGTTTTCATGAAGGTTGAAAGGCTGAAAGCTGCTATTATTATCTTTGTTTTTACAAAACATTTACTGCTAATAATATTATCCACGTGGAGACATTTCCCCGCAATGTAACGTTAGGCTATGAATAACAGGACACGACACACACATAAGCGCGCGCATACACACACTGGTCCACTATCTTTGTGGGGACTCTCCATAGACGTAATGGGTTTTATACTGTACAAACTGTAGGCCTTTATTCTGTCTCCTTACACTAATGAATTATTTTGTATGAGTACTTGTATACTTTTAAGTTCTATTTATTTAGTGCTTTGTTCAATCTCAACCCATTATTTTATTTTTATTATTAAGATGTCTGCACAAGAGTTAACTGTAATCTGTGCAAACATTAAACTTAAATTAAACGTCTCGCTTTGGTCTACACTGGAAGTGTTCTGCTTGCTCTGCTAAAGCTAAACTATTATTACTAAAGCTGAAACTAAATAAAGAAAAAAACTATATAGAAATGTGTTTGCAAAATAAAAACTAACAAAACCATTAATGAAACTAGCTAAAACTAAACTGAAATTTAAAGCAAAATTGAAAACGATATTAAAATAAAAACTAATTTAAAAAAGCAAAACTATAACAACAGATAGGCTCTCACTCTGAAATCAATAAAGTCTTCATTCGCTGCCGGTTCTCATTATGACAAGACGAGCAAAAAGTGGAAAGACATAACAAGTGCATTCAGGCCTACCTCATGTTGCACGTTTGCACTTTTTGAGAAAAAAAATGGCATAATAAAAAAACACATTTCAGGTCTATGTCCAATGAAATGCCTCACCTTTTTCTAGTTATCTAGTGTTAAAATACATATTTTGCCTGTAATTTAACTAAGGTGTACTAAAATGTGATTCCAATTTTCTTTTTCTCATATCGCGATATAATATCGATATCGTCCGGACAGTGAAAAATATCGTGATATGAATTTTTGCTCATATCGCCCACCCCTAACTACAGTATATATATACATACAACTATTTGGTTGTACCACCTGACATAGAAACAGTGAAAAATAATTACTATAAACCCTTTGAAATGTTATTTAAAAACTAAAACTTGTTTTAACACATTGCTCATGACTCAAAAATATGCATTACATCAGTTTTGTAAAGATCTTTTGAAAAGCCCCTTTTTTGAAGATTTATTTGTTAATAGACCATTCAAAGGTAATTTCATGAACAACACATCTTCTTAAAATAATCACTTTCTTGTAGACGTCACTTGGTTTAATATTCAATGAATAAGGTCATACTATCACAAGAACTGTCAAAACAGTACAGACACCTGCTCAACCATAACGATGCTCAGCACACACACACACACACACACACACACAAGGTTAACTAATCAAAGTTCCCTTCAAGCCATCGTCATGACGTTTAAAACATGCAGATGTGCGCAAAAGACCCCACATCATACACACCTGTAGTTCCGATTTCCATTCATGAGGTCTCTGTCCGGTTCCGTCCCCGGCTCGCAGTAGACGAACTTCAGAAACTCTTCTTGGATCCCGACGGCCCCCCGAACCGGTTCCGTTAACCCAATGCGAGCGTCTCCTCCCGCGTTTCGAGCTCCTAATCCACCTTCCCCAGAGCCAGAAGCCCGTATGTTATATCAACGGAGGCCGAGAGAGAGGAGGGAGGTTCGGTGCCCCAGTAACGTTACCAGGCTCGAAAAATCTGTTCGGGATTTCAGGTTCGGTTGACAGATTGACGTTACGGCCAGCTAGCTAGACTGCTAAAACGAAAAGTTCCCCTCAGCCTGCTCAAATACAGTCCCGAATCGCTGTTTCTGTAACCGCGACGCCTTCAGAAACGCGTCTTTGGAAAGACTGAGGCGGTTTGTTGAGGTGTTATGACGTTATAGCGAGTAAAAGTCCACTTATGTCGCCTCCTCTCTTCGACAGCGCTAGCCTGCTACTGCTAGTGGCCAGGCTAACCAGCTAAGCTACATTCCCATCTGAGAGGAGAAAAAATCCCGTCAAACGCCGTCTTCTCTTAACTTAAAGTCCCCGATCATCACTGGCTTCCACGGTCGAAGCTAGCGGCCTTCCAAAAGCGTATATTCCTTTCGTTTTACGCCAGTGGTGACATTAAATAAGTTGAGAGTTGAACTCTCTCTCAGGGTTTCTCTTGACAGTCTCCGCGAGACTCGCTACGGCTAAATATGGAGCGTCTGATGGTCCGCGAGCGCGACGCACGGACCTGGCGCGAGAGCCGCGCGCTGATTGGCTGCGAGGGGAAGCGCAAGTCCGCGAGGGAAGGGGCGGGGTTTGAGGCAGCCTTCGAGTGACCATCATCATCATCATAAGCTTGTGCGAACAACTGATTAGGCCTCATTCATCTTGTTAAAATCTATCTATCTATCTATCTATCTATCTATCTATCTATCTATCTATCTATCTATCTATCTATCTATCTATCTATCTATCTATCTATCTATCTATCTGACTATCCATCTATCTTTTTATCTATCTATCTATCTATCTATCCATCCATCCATCCATCCATCCATCCATCCATCCATCCATCCATCCATCCATCCATCCATCCATCCATCCATCCATCCATCTATCTATCTATCTATCTATCTATCTATCTATCTATCTATCTATCTATCGATCTATCTATCTATCTATCTATCTATCTATCTATCTATCTATCTATCTATCTATCTATCTATCTATCTATCTATCTATCTATCTATCCATCTAACAACTTATTAGGCCATATTAATTTTGGCAAAATCTATCCATACATCCATTCACTGACTAATTTTACTATGAATTTTCTTGAATTAAAATACTGATAACATGAATTATGATGTTAACTCATTGAATTAACCAGAATAGGTGATACAAGTGATTTTAGCATTCGAGTCAATGCAATAACTTAAATTAATACTGATAACAAGAATTAGGGTGTTGATGCATTTAATAAACCAGATTGATTGATTGTACTCAGTTCTGGTTGGAAAAGGATGCATGAAAACAACAATTATTAAAGTCAACATCATGAAATCAAATTCGACCACATTCACGTTCCTGGTCTTTTTGAGCATGAATAACCGATTCATGTTATTCTTAAGAAAAACTTTGTCACTGTCATCATTTATCAAAATGTAAAAACTTTTTTTTTTTCCTCACTGAATATTTAGGTTTTTCTTGGAAATATAATATAATTCAATCCCCAGAACACCTCACATCTGAAACAGGACTCATCACAGTGTTTAATAAAAAACAACTTTTATTTTCTTTAAAAAATAATCATCCCGAACAAAGTCTTCTCACTATTACATACAGAGCCAAAATGACTTGCTTATGTCTCCATTCACTGAATCTATTGGGAAGTGCTATGATACGGACTGTTCTTTATCAGTGGCTTAATATTGCTTAGACATTGAGGTCGGGTGAAGTCCACTCTCCAATTACGCCGTTACACACCTCCCACAAGGTGCCTGTGGCTTTTGAGAGTCAAGTACTGCATCAGAATATTCAGTCTAAGACAGACCAGATCAACATTATACAGTGGGGGATCAATAAAAATCACCTCGTTGGGTTGGTAAAACCTAATATATAAAGGCATGTCTTTGTGTACATTTCATAAACATGAGTTAAAAATAAAAACATCTAAAAATCACTTTGAATTTCAACACAATTTTAGGTGCTTTGAGGCGTCTTCCAACAATGCCGCCTTGTGGAGATTCTATGCCACTTTTTAGGTTTCCTTAAAGAGACAGTTCACCAAAAATATGAAAATTCGGTCATTATTTATTCACCCTATGATCTGTTCTTGTACGGAGCTATGAAAAATGATGCCAGTGTCCAAATTTGGAATGACATAAGTGTGAGTAATGACTGAATTTTCATCTTAGGCCGAACTATTCCCTTCACAACAGGTGAGAAAGTATGGCATCAAATGTTAGTACGGGCACAGTCTTAACATGATTACTAAGAGGCTCCGGTTACAACACAAACTCAGTTTAAACATGCATTTCAAACATCCACCATATGACATGATTGCATGGCATAATGTTCCCCTAACCTGCGTTTTCCTGCATGCTCAGTGCACCAACGGGCATCAGGCGAGGGTAAATGTGCAATGATACTGGCAAGTGTGTTGTTGTGTGTGCATGAGTTCAATGTGCTTGCTGGGTAGGGATTGTGGCAGTGTTACCGACTATGGCGGGTGGGAGTGTGTGGTCATGTGACACAACAGCCTTCACGAGAGCAGTGGGTCACTATATACAAACAGGTATTCCTGCATTGTTCGATTTCTTGGTGGAGACAAACACATCTCATTCTCTTCAAGCATCTCAAACGTGCCGTGTGTCTTTCTATCGGACTGATCTCGGTGACCTTGTATTGCTTCGTTTACAGAGGTCAGTGGAAGAAACGTTTTAAAGGAAAAGTTCACCCAACAATAAACATGTACACAAACGCGTCATACCAAACCCTCATTATTTACATTATAACAGGGTTAGTCTGTGGGGATGTGTGTGTGTGTGTGTGTATACTGTATATATATATATAAAAACACACATACACAGTAGTCAACATTTTAAGTGGATTAAAAAAGTTAATCAAAGTTGTCCTAAGACAAGACCGGGTATTGTTCAAAATTCATGTATAACTTTGATGAAAGGTTTTGATCCACTTCTATATATATACACATACTCACAGAAATACACACACACACACACACACCACACATACATATCCATACGATTTGTGTACTGTATTCCAAGTCTTCTGAATTCACATGGTCGATTTATGTGAGAACCAGACAAAATAATTAATTATTAGCTCTCAAATCTCACTTGCAGTCACGTTTTAAATGGCCACATGAAGCGCAGGAACAAAAGTTGAAAAACAGTGAATAATAATTTCAATCCTGTTTTTTTTTCCTTACGCATAGCTAAAATATGACTTCAGAACACTTGGACTATAGCACGCAAGTCATGCAGACTCGTTTTATGATACTTGAATGGTGCTTTTTATAGTGTGTACTAGTGTTGTATTAAAAAGAGCACATATTGTGTTTCATGGAAGAAAGGAAATAATCCAGGGTTTGCAATGACACGAGGGTGAGTAAATGATGAAAGAAATTGTCATTGTTGGGTGAACTATTCCTGTAAGTTCAAGAAGATTTATGTGCACTGGAAAAGTGAGAGAAGAAAAAAAAAACAGGGTGAAATCAAACCCTTCCAGAAGAGCATAGAGGAATCAAGTAGAGACGAGGGCTCTTTTGAACGGTTGGCATCATGTTTGGCTGGTGCATAATGCTGGTTTGGGTGTTATGCTGATGTGAGAGTGCATGTGCAGGGAATGCACTCAGTGGTCCGTCTATCGGTACGCTAATTCGGCCACTCTTTAACTACTGAGGCGAGTCTAAATCCGATAAGCGGACACCGCTGCGACCGCTGGAGAGACACCTGCGTCTGCTACAGTTGATCACTGACAACACGTAAACGCTGGGCTCACGGTGCTTTACAACTAAAACTAAGTGCTAATGTACCATGTCTTTCACAAAAATAAACATTTTAAAAGAAAATCTCACAACAATAAAAATAATGCCAATGGAAGTAACAACAATTCCTCCACTTCGGGCATTTGAACTCTGGCATCGCCCAGACGGACAGGTTAAGAGGCAGCTTCGTGGTGACGTACAAAACGACAGGTTCGTCTGCGTTCCTTCCCTCCGTATTGCATACATACGTACATGTGGGAGTGCGAAGGTAGTATACACAATTAAATAAAATAAAAAAAGAGCATAGTTCAGCCAGACTCAACAAAACGCAAAGAGTGAGACTCCGTGTTCAGTTCTGTGGGCTTCACCGCACTGGTAGCACCAGGTGAACTGGCTCGAGGAGTGTGTGTCAGTCCGAAGCCCTCCGGCCTGATGAGGTGTGGCAGAGAAGCTTGGCTTAGGCAAAGTACATGGTCCTCAGGGTGTCGTGGTGAATCTGCACAGCTTTGGCCAGCGCTTGGGGATCCCGGCCGTTGCTCTGCCCGGAGACGTGGCTTCCCTCTCCGCTACAGACGAGAGAAGAGAGAGAGGAAGGTTTAACGACTGAGAATGAGACAAAATTAGAAACAGTAAAGGCCTTTATAATGTTCCAAAAGATCTCGATCTCAGACGAATGTTTCATCAAAGAGTCCTGAAAAAACAACTGTTCAACATTGATGATAATAATCAGGAATGTTTGTTGAGCATCAAATCATCATATTAGAGTGATTTCTGAAGGATCACGTGACACTGAAGACTGGAGTAATGATGCTGAAAATCCAGCTTTGATCACAGGAATAAATTACATTTTAAAATATATTCACATAGAAACCAGTTATTTTAAATTGTAACAATTTGCTGGAAAACATTGCAAAGGAGACAAGATAAAGAAATATTTAAAAAAAACTGTTTTATCTTATGTATTAACCATATTATCTTATTAATGCATTCTTCTCTTATTATTTGTTATTAATACATTTTTAATTATTTAAATGATTATTTGTTTACTTGTATTTATTTATTTTTTATTTCTTATGCATAATTATCATTTAATTCCCTTTTATGTAAAGAGCTTTTAATTACTATTGTGTATATAAATAAATAAACTTTAAGACATGTAGGCCAGTTCTAGAATCAAAGGCTATTCCAAAAAAAATATATATTTTTTTGTAAAGCATGTATCCTTTTTAGAAAAGGCAATCACAGAATGCATTGTAAAGAGCTCAATAAATAAAATAAATGCATAACGGCATGTAAAGTGAGAGAAATGTTGATTATAAACAATTATTCATTTAATACTGAAAGTTTGTGATGAAACATAAAAAATAGACTATTTTTTCCAATATTTGTCAATAGGAAAATTGACATCTTCACCCCTTAATAGAATATTATTAAAGATTTTCTAAGCATATTGCATTGTTAACGCAATGAAACACCATTTTCATTCCAACATCATTTCTGGCCAGCCTGTCATACAAAGAAATTATGAACACATGCATCACCGCATGCGTCACTTTTGAGGCTCCACCCAAATTAAATGCATTTCTAAGTAAGGGTATGTAATGCCTGACGAGGTGTCCATTGTCCACTTCCTCCACCGAAGTCCATTAATACCGGACAACGGACACCTCGAAGGGCATTAACCCGCTTATACCATGATCACTTGCCAAATAACACATTTTTAAAACATTCGTTTATATTTTAATTAGTTTTACAATCGAAATCTAAAGTTTTTACAAACAATAACTTGGTTTCCCTGGTTACGCCTGGCGGTTTATTTAGCAACCGGAGATATTTATAGTCCGCTCAGCTCGTAAAACCCTTCAGTTTAGCTAACTTACGAGCCAGAAAGTTAACGTCAAATTTTCCAAAAAGGTTAAAAGAAATAACGAAGTCGCTCATTGTTGTATTAGTAGGCTATAAGTTTGTTTTGATACAATAAATTGTAAACGGATACTTTGACTGCCTGTTGCGATGGTTACTCACATCTGATGTTATTTATTAATTTCGAACGGTAAACAGTCAGTTTCACCAGAACTCCTTTGCTAGGGGTCCTCTATCACTTTTTACTGGACACCCTGCAGCCAATCAGAATCGAGTATTCACCCAGACCATGGTATATAATGCAGTTTAATAATGCAGCACCTGTCATGCTCCTTATCCACCAGATGGTAGCGTGCCCGGAAAGCCACGAGCCGGGCGTAGTACGCAGGCGCTGGGATGGACACGGAGCGGGTACAGCGCACATACGTGTGGCACAGCTGGTACGTGAGGATCTGCAGCTCGTCGGCCGTGAAGCGGTTGTCGTCCCACAGGACGTAGTAGTGTGAGGGCCGGCTGGTGCCCTGGGACCGGGACAACAGGAGATCAAACCACATTCACAAGCACACAGCCACGAATGTTTGCACCAAGTCTGTGCGCTCACCTGAATCCCTGCGTGACTGCACAGGTAGAAATCAAACTCGAACGGATGCGTGATGCTGGTGTCAACTGTAGTTCCTGCTGGAATGTTCCCACTCTTCCCGATCTGAGCAAAACCACAGGAATTAGAATGAATTATTAGCGTTAACTAAAACTAAAACCAAAACCATAAAAAAATATACAATTTTATTTTAATACATTTTAATAAAAATAATTACATTATTACATTTTAATGGGGCGGTTTCCCAGACAGAGATTAAGCTGAGTCCTAGAATAAAATAACCTTTTAAAGCAGATTAACAGATGCTTTTAAATAGTCCTGGACTTAGTCTAGTCCAGAGTTTAAGGAGCTGATTTCCTGGAGGAAGACTAGAGCTACTCCAGCACTAAACTGAGGCTTAAACTAAACCTACGAGGAGGAAGGTTTAACTTCAGATTAATGTTGCTAAAAGAAGACACATGGATTACTCTCGCACACACGCACACTCTCTCACACTCTCTCACACACTCTCACACACTCTCTCACACTCTCTCACACTCTCAAACACTCTCACACTCTCTCACACTCTCTCACACTCTCTCACACTCTCTCACTCACACTCTCTCACACTCTCTCACACTCTCTCACACTCTCTCACACTCTCTCACACTCTCTCACACTCTCTCACACACTCTCACACTCTCTCACACTCTCTCACACACTCTCACACACTCTCTCACACTCTCTCAAACACTCTCACACACTCTCACACTCTCTCACACTCTCTCACACACTCTCACACACTCTCACACACTCTCACACACTCTCACACTCTCTCTCACACTCTTTCACACTCTCTCACACTCTCTCACACTCTCTCACACACTCTCACACACTCTCTCACACTCTCTCACACACTCTCACACACTCTCACACACTCTCACACTCTCTCACACTCTCTCACACACTCTCACACTCTCTCACACTCTCTCACACACTCTCACACACTCTCTCACACTCTCTCAAACACTCTCACACACTCTCACACTCTCTCACACTCTCTCACACTCTCTCACACACTCTCACACACTCTCTCACACTCTCACACACTCTCTCACACTCTCTCACACACTCTCACACACTCTCTCACACTCTCTCACACTCTCACACACTCTCACACACTCTCTCACACTCTCTCACACTCTCTCACACTCTCTCACACTCTCTCACACTCTCTCACACTCTCTCACACACTCTCACACACTCTCACACTCTCTCACACTCTCTCACACACTCTCACACACTCTCTCACACTCTCTCAAACACTCTCACACACTCTCACACTCTCTCACACTCTCTCACACACTCTCACACACTCTCACACACTCTCACACACTCTCACACTCTCTCTCACACTCTTTCACACTCTCTCACACTCTCTCACACTCTCTCAAACACTCTCACACACTCTCACACTCTCTCACACTCTCTCACACTCTCTCACACACTCTCACACACTCTCACACTCTCTCTCACACTCTTTCACACTCTCTCACACTCTCTCTCACACTCTCTCTCACACTCTTTCACACTCTCTCACACTCTCACACACTCTCACACACTCTCTCACACTCTCTCACACTCTCTCACACACTCTCACACACACTCTCACACACACTCTCACACACACTCATGTACATCTATCTTTATGAGGACATTCATTGACACAATGCAATCTCTAGCCGCTTACCCTAACCTTACTCATCACAACTAAGTGCTTAACCCGAACCCGAACCCTAAACCTAAACCTACCCATAACCTAATTATAACCTTATGTCTAAAACCAAGTCTTGACCCTCAAACAGGCCTTTAAAGGGGTCTCAGAAAGTGAGGACCGGCCAAAATGTCCTCACTTTACACTCTTTGTCCTCACTCCAATGGTCTAAAACTCAAACTAGTCCTCACAAAAATAGATACACTCTCTCACACTCACACACTCTCTCTCACACACACACACACACACACACACACACACACACACACACACACAGAATAACTACTATATTGTCCACCCACAGATTTCACAGAACAGTAAGGTAATACAGCTGATGATTTAATCTTACCTGAAGTTGTTGATGTGTGTTCATTTGCACTGAATTCATTACAAATAGATTTCCAGGCATTCATTTTCTCTGCTGATGTGTGGAGTTTTTCTCTGCCATTTGCTTTAAAAGAGTTTTCTCTTGTTCAGTAAAGTTTTTTCTGCTGCCATTGTTTCCTGTATGAATTTCTTCCGCTAAACACAAAGATATTTTGAAGAATGTCAGTTGATGGACCCCATTGACTGCAGTATTGTTTTCCATAGTATGGAAGTCAATGGGGCCCATTAACGGTTTGGTTTCCTTACATTCTTCAAAATATCTTCTTTTGTGTTCAGCAGAAGAAAGAAATTCATACAGGTTCGGAACAACTTGTGGGAGAGTAAATGATGACAGAATTTGTGTGTGAATATCCCTTTAAGGTCTATTCCTGTCTTAACTTAAAACCTGTCAGGGAAACCGCTCCCTAAAGTATAAAATCTAATTCAATATAATAACAAAAAACTATTATATAGTATAGTACATCCATGATACTAAATAAAACACTGCCTCTGGAAACGTCAACTTTAAAATGCTGTTTTTGAGAAACTCACTCGTTCAGATTTATCAGCGCAGAAGAGGCGTGTGTGGTGGCGTTTCTGCACGACTATGTATGTGATTCCCGGCTGGTAGTCTTTCTCCAGCTTGATGCAGGCGTCTCTGATGGCCAGCAGCTCGTAGTGCAGGATCTACACAAGGAAAACACGTGACAGATCACCATGAGACGACTAAAAGTGACAGCAAAGACATTTATAATGTCACAAAAAAAAATTTGTTGAAAAAAAAAAGTTTCCAGCTTTCCCCAAAAATATTAACCTGTTTTCGACATTGATAATTATCAGAAATGTTAGCAAATCACATATCAGAATCATTTCTGAAGGATCATGTGACACTTAATACTGGAGTAATTCAGCTTTGCATCACAGGAATAAATGACATTTTAAAATAAATCCACACAAAAATTTACATTGTAATCATATTTCACAATATTCCTGTTTATACTATATTTCTGATCAAATAAATGCCTCGTTAAACATCAAAAACATTAGATAAATCTTACCGAGCCCAGTCTTTCGAACTGTATTGCATTGGATTGTTTGAATGAATGATAATAGGGCCTTACTTGTGGTAACTGTCCCTCTGGAACACCGTCCCTGTAGAAGATGATTCTGGTGGGTTTGAAGCGGGTGGACTTGTAGAACTGGATGAGCAGCTCTCGCACCATGTATGAGAGGTCTTCAATAATCTCCTGTCTGGGTCGCTGGACTCGCACTGTGGCGCAGTATCTGCTGGGATGAGCGTCCATACTGCCCACAACCTGCAGAGAGCAATGGCAGAGGAGGATGTAATATAATATAATATAATATAAATGTAATGTAGTGTAATATCATATAATGTAATATAATATAATGTAATATCATATAATGTAATATAATGTAATGTAATAATGTAATATCATATAATGTAATATAATATAATGTAATATCATATAATGTAATATCATATAATGTAATATAATATAATGTAATGTAATGTAATGTAATGTAATATCATATAATGTAATATAATATAATGTAATGTCATATAATGTAATATCATATAATGTAATATAATGTAATATACTATAATGTAATAATGTAATATAATGTTATAATGTAATGTAATGTAATGTAATATAATGTAATATCATATCATATAATATAATATAATATAATGTAATATAATATAATGTAATGTTTTTTTTGTTTTGTTTTTTTATGACAACAAAAAACATAAAGGTCTCATACATAGACAATAACATGTAAACATGAAAATAACATACATAAGTGTGTGTGTGTGTGTGTGTGTGTGTGTGTGTGCATGTATTACTGGGTGTGCAAGTGGAAATAACTTAACAGAAGAAAATCTTACAGATACAACAGACATGATAAAAATGAACTAATGTAATGTAATGTAATATAATATAATGTAATATAATATAATGTAATATCATATAATGTAATGTAATATAATATAATGTAATATAATGTAATATAATATAATGTTATAATGTAATGTGATATAATATAATATAATGTAATGTAATATAATATAATGTAATATAATATAATGTAATATCATATAATATAATATAATGTTATAATGTAATGTAATATAATATAATGTAATATAACATAATATAATGTAATGTAATGTAATATAATATAATATAATAATAGGATAATAAAGTGTTTTCTATGTGAATAATATATTATAAAATGTAATTTATATGGTCAAAGGAGATTTTCAGCATCATTACTCCAGTCTTCAGTGTCACGTGATCCTTCAGAAATCACTCTAATATGATGATTTGATGCTCAAGAAACATTTCTGATTATTATCATTAATGTTGAAAATTTTATAATATTTTTGTGGAAACCGTGATAAATTTTTTTCAGGATTCTTTAATGAATAGAAAGTTCAAAAGAACAACATTTATTTGAAATGTAAATATGTTGTACCATTATAAATGTCTTTTTTGAAGTATCTTTGCAGTTATCAAAGAATCTTACTGACCCCAAATGTTGGAACGGGACCCTAGGGAAAAATATACTGAAATGCATTTATTTTATGCTAAGTATACTACAAATACATTTACATATTTATGTACTTAATATAAGTACCCTGGAATTGTACTTTTGCAATACTAAATTGATATACTACAAGTCTGCTAGATTGGAACAACTAATTTTGTACTTAATGCACTTTAGTTGTCAAGAAATAGTGCTAAAGATAAACTAAACTAAAGATATGTGCTATAGTGGAATTATTGCATGCATACTTTAAGTACACTTTGAATATCTTGCATTTAAAGACTGAAATTATACAGAGATCATACTATCCTTACTAATAGTGACATTAAAACACATTTTAGGCTTAATATTAAGAAATGTGCATCGTGCAATAAAGAAGTACTCCAAATAAAGTTTAATTATAATATTTATATATCAGTAAGTCTCAAGCAAAATGTCGGTAAATATGTTAATGGCTAGTATGAAACATTGTATTTTGATATAGATATTTTTCACTTGGGTAGTGTATGTATTAGATGAAAAACTACATTTCAAAAGTGGCACAAATTGAACGTTTACACGTGTGAAAAAAATAATAATAAAAAATGTTGCCAATGCAAATGTGTCTAGTCTGTTTCTGTCTCGTAAGCAACCGCCTAACAAAAAGCTCATCAAAACTCATCACTTGCAAAAAGAAAAAGACCAGAAAGAACATGACCAGCTGTTTTCAAATGTAAAAAAAAAAAAAGTGACAAAAAATAAAAACTGCATACACCAGAGCAATGCATGTCAGCATTACAAAAAAAAGAAAGAAATGCAAATAATGCGCAACAGACGGCGTGTGAAGGAAATCGGCCGGCCCTCTCGCACTAAAGTGAGAAAACCAAAATTGGTTTTCGTCAGCAGTTTACTTCATGTTCCCTGCCGCCACTCCCTCCACACACACGTTCTCTCCATCCGTCTGCGTGACTCAGGCCTTTGTCACCATCGCTTAGCAACCGGCAAACGAGAACACGCTTACAAGTGGTTGCATGCGCAGAGAGGAAGGTGACATCATTTCCTCCTCGTCTGTGAGTCACCGACGAGCTATTTTCCCTTTTCAAAGCTCCCATCCGGTCCTGTCCACGTCCCTTTCACTCCCGCATGTGTTCTGGGACACTTCCAGGGGTGTCAGCACCATTACGTACAGCAAACTGGGCGGCTCTGGGGGTGTAATTACAGCCCTCTATATAAGACTAAGACTAAAATGAAGTGCCTTTCGCCTCAGGTTGAGTTTTGGAGAGTTGTGTTACATTTATAACTTCATTATGTCCCAGATCAATAATAGCTCCTCTTGATATATCATATATTTGATGACAGGTTAATACAAGAAAGCTGCTAGACTAAACCATCCAAAATGATCAAGCATTTTTGTTCAGGCTTTGTGCATCTCATAGGGGTGTAACAATATATCGTGTCACAAAAATGCAACTATGTATCGTGGATAGTGACAATATGTATTGTGTATAGTTCACCCAAAATAAAAATTACTGTGTGAGAAATTTTTTCTAGTTTTCAGAGTTTTAGTGTCAGTACTACATTAAACAACTATATATAAATGTTGAATATAATGTCTAATAATGGGGGAATATTTGTAGGTCCTGATAATGCCAAATTTCTTATGTTACCAGTAAAAAGTGGCCTACATTATTTTAAATATATCTAGTCAGTGACAGAGGGCAAGCATATTCGTCTAAAATAATTCTGTATTTTCAGCTTCAGAATCATGAATATTTTTATTCTGGTGTCTCTGTTGTCCTGTTCATTGGGTTTCCAGCACCAAGTAAGCATCTCGTCTCTTCCCAGTCTGTCAGTAACGCTCTGTTTAGTTCCTGTCTCTATGAAGCCCCTCCTTCTGAAAAGCACACTGTGCTCTGATTGGTCGGCTGGAGCAGTGTGTTGTGATTGGTCGAGCGCTTCGAGTGTGTTTGGGAAATGTCCCTCCCCTAATTACCATAACCACCAGTTTAACACACTACTAACTAACTCATTTAGGCCCCGCCCCTTTATTCTGCGTATGAATTATTGAAATGAGGAATATTGTGACCTGTTCGTTCCCGGAAGAAAACTCAGACGTTTCAGGGAGTTCAGAAACAGTGACACTGATTGCAAACCTTTTTTCATGCTCAAACAGCATCATTACACACTAATAAATGCAAAAGAAAAGCACAATAGGACCTATTTAACTGTGTATTTGCCTTCCTGATATTGGTTAAAACCCAATGCTAAATTGCATCCAAACTACCAATCTACCCAACTACCACCAAATGTTCCTTTGACGTAATGTTTGTTATTGCTATTATTGTTGCATGATCTATTTCAGATAAACCTGCATCTAAACAGCACTTAAAAACTGTTTAGTTGTTTTGTCTCTACACGACTATCTTTTTACACTTTCAAAACAGTGTGATAGTGTTTATTCATGTGATGACAGATGATTCTAGCTTAAACAGCTTCTCAGCCCTACTTGGGTTTAAAATCTCATTCAAAATGCAAAAGAGAATTCATAAGAAGATAAGAATGTGTGTGTGTGTGTGTGTGTGTGTGTGTGTGTGTGTGTGTGTCAAGCTCACAGCAGTGATAGACGGCTTCTTCCCATCACCAGCCGGCGGGTGTGTAACATCTGCTCCGAGGAAGATCACTGGCTGCTGGAACACTGCAGACCTGCGCAAAGGTTCAAATACAGTGTTGATTCAGGCTGCGCGATTTATGGAAAAATGTTTCTGATAAAAAATGCAATTGTAATTTAAAATGCGATAAAAAAAGAACATCTAGGTTTGCATGTGGTTGTTTGAAGGGCAGCACAATTTTGTCCAATAAAAACTCGTTTTTATTTTATTCTTTATTTATTAAAACTAATAATAATAAAAAATAAAAACAAATTAAATAAATAAAATATAAAAAGAATAAAAACAAAATATTACAATAGTAATTTTCTTGGTTTGTTTTATTTAGTATGTTTAATATTTTTGTTATAATAATAATTTTAATAATAATACATACAATATAAAAATATGAAAGTAATGTTTCTTTTCTTTTTATTTAGTTTTTTTTATTACAAATAAAATAACAAACAATAACAAATAAATAAAATGTAAACAATAAATAAAAACAAAATATTACAGTACTATATTTCTTATTTTGTTTTATTTAGTATATTTTTTACATTTTATTAATAATAATAAATACAATATACAAATATTTCAAAATATAACAAAAGTAATAGTTATTTGTTTTTATTTTGTATTTTTATATATATATTTTAATAATAATACAAATAACAACAAATACAATATATAAAATATTACAGTACAAATATTTCTTATTTTGTTTTTAGTATTTTTATATTTTATTTACTATTATAATTATTATTAAATATTAAAAAAAATATAATAGCAACAATAATAATACAATATAAAAATATTAAAAAAACAGAATAAAAATAATATATATATATATATATATATATATATATATATATATATATATATATATATTACAAAACTATTACAAAAACAAAGTATAACAAATATTTTATACAAAAGTTATTTTGTTTTTATTTAGTACTTTTATATTTTATTTATTATTATTATTAATAATAAAAATAATAATAACTATAACAACTTTCATTAAAAGTATTGCTAGTATTGTAAAATAATTCTCAATATTGCTAGTATTGTAAAATAATATATATTTTTTTTATTTAAGAAAAATAATATAATAACTATTATTATTTTATCTTACAGTACAACTGTAAAATTACAATACTAATATTTATGGCTTTCGTAATTTCTTCATTTCAAACATTAAACCATTAACGTTTTATGTTGACGTAAAACTGCGGGGAGGTAAAAACAGTGTAAGCATGCTTTACTCAGAAACACACAGCACATATACTGTGTGCATTTAACATGAATACACCCTCAAAGCCATATCATGATTCCAGCTAATCGTGGAGCTCTAGAGCCCAAAACACATCGGTTTTCAATAGCTTTTAATCAGTGACAATTTTATTATATGTGTTGCCTATGTGATGCTTCTTTTTCAGATTAGATCTTTTTCTCTTTCTGTGTTCTGTTTTACATTGTGTTGTTTTAACTGTGCTATATAAATGAAGTTGCTATTGCTAGTGTGAATGCTTACAGTTTAATCCAAACACATCCAGGCAGAGAAACTTCAGTAACACTCTCACCGTTGATGCGGGACCAGGATGTTGTTGATGCCGCCGAGTTTGACGTTGATTTTGAGGCAGAGGTTGGAGAGCGTCTGAGGGGAGGTTTTCACCACGTTCTTCACCTGCACACACTGAGTGGCCATTCCTAGAAGAGTGTCTCCGACACGCTTCACTTCCGCTGCACAGATCAAGCGTGAGTTGGTTAGTCTGACGGCATTCGGCAGGAGGTTCGGCTCTGTGTGCGACGCTCTTACCGTAGACGGGTGTTTTTCCCGGCAGGATGACGATGATGAGCTGCAGTCCAGAGTAGGTGTTCTTCAGGTGCCTGAACATGGGCTCCACGCTGTCGGCTCCCTGTGCGTACTTACAGAAGCACGGCTGACCCTGGATGGGCATCCCAGCATCCTTTGAGATCTTACGCAGCTGGTCGGTGAAGTTCCTGAGGAAGAGATCGTCACAAAAATTACCACTGAAGTGTTTATAGCGCTTTTATTCTGTAATCTATGCGGGCGTCCTTACTTGAGCACCTCTTCCCGACACTGTTTCTGTGGGGCGAAGCAAGCGATGGCCCAAACCTTGATCTCAATGCCGTTGTAGAACTGCTTTCCCCTCATATCCCACACACCCTGGTTGGGAGTCGCGATGGCACGGTTCTGTTCAGAGAGAATTTAGAAATGTCACACTGGAGGTGATGATGATGCGTCATCACGGGAGTCTCTCCACACTGGAAGTGTCAATTCTGCACGTCAACAGTTATGCATTTGGCAGATGCTTTCATCCAAAGTCACTTTGCATTGAAAGTTTTTGATGAATAGAAAATCATTTTTATGTTTTTGAGAGTCTCTTCTGCTCATCAAGGCTGCATTTATTTAATTAAAAATACAGTAAAATCAGTAATATTGTGAAATATTATTGCAATTTAAAATAACTGTTTTCTATTGCGAATATATTGTAAAATGTAATTTATTCCTGCGATTTTCAGCATCATTACTCCAGTCTTCAGTGTCACACGATCCTTCGGAAATCATTTTAATATGATGATTTGCTGCTCAAGAAACATTTCTGATTATTATTAATGATGAAAACAGTTGTGGTGCTTCATATGTTTGTGGAAACTCTGATACATATTTATTTTTTAGGATTCTCTAATGAATCAGAAGTTCAAAAGAACAGCAATGGGATCTTTTGTAACATTATTATCACTTTTGAACAATTGAATGCATCCTTGGTGAATGAAAGTATTTATTAAATGTATTTTGAATGGTCGTTTATCACATTTTCCAAAAATAATCAAAAAGCAATACTCAGAAATGTTTCTTGAGCAGCAAATCCTGCTATTATACTGATTTCTGAATGATCATGTGACACTGAAGACTGGAGTAATGATGATGAAAATTCAGCTTTGATCACAGGAATAAATGACATTTTACAATATATAACAATAAAAAAATAAATAAATAAAAAAAGCAATATTTCACAATATAAGTATTTTGATTAAATAAATGCAGCCTTGGAGAGCCTTTCAAAATCATAATTATTCCATCTTTTGACCGGTAGTGTATTTTATACGTTCATGCATTCACTGAGAATCGAACCCATAACATTGGCGTTGCAAGCGCCATGATCTCCTGTTTAATCTACAAGAACAGAAGTGGAACAGGAGCAGTGTGAGCGTCAGATTCAGTCTAAAGGCTCTTACCCGACCACCGTACTGCAGGATTGGAGCGGGAAGGACTCTGCCGGTCACCTCGGCCATGTCGTCCTTCACTTTGATTCCAAACTCTTGAATGTAGGGATCCAGATTAAAGTTAGCGTTCTTCATCTGAGCAAAAAAAAAAATTAAATTATGAAAATGTCTGTCATGCAGGCAATATGAACCTGCATTCACAACCCATTCCACTTCTGTAATGTGATGCATTATTGACTGAAACCGGATAGTCGAGAATGAGGGGAAAAAAAATATAATTTCATCCATCAGGAATTGATTTGAAAAGTTAGAAAAAGAAAAGAAAAGAAAATAATTTCAGAGGCAGAGCAAGTTATTGCATTTTCACAAAAGATTACAAAAACTTGCGGTGATGAACTGCAAACAATAAGACCAAAACTGTGCATTAAGAAAATAAATAGAAAAGTAAACATTGTCTGTAAAAGTCTACATTGAAAGTTTGTCTTACAATTAGGGCTGGACAATATTGGGGGGGAAAAAACGTATATTGCAATATTTTGTTTATCTATAGCAATATGAAAATAATTTCTCCAGATGACTTGAATAGCTCTATTTAGAAAAAAATAGTTAATCATTCTAGAATGATGGGGTGATTCTGTGAGCGAGTGAACCTGCATAATAAACTAATTTTAGCTAAATAAAATTATAGAACAAACAGTGCTTTATATTTTTAGGTAAGTCTAACAGAAATTGAAAGTAAGTAAGGGTAAAGTAAGTAAGGGTATCTAATGCTCGACGAGGTGTCCATTGTCAGGTATTAATGGACGACAGCGAGGCGTGCGTGTCGGACGGGTTCCTCCACCGAAGTCCATTAATACCGGACAACGGACACCTCGAAGGGCATTAACCCGCTTATATCATGATCACTTGCCAAATAACACATTTTTAAAACATTCGTTTATATTTTTAAGTAGTTTTACAATCGAAATCTAAAGTTTTTACAAACAATAACTTGGTTTCCCTGGTTACGCCTGACGGTTTATTTAGCAAACGGAGATATTTATAGTGATTGATAAATTGATATTATGGCCAATCACGCACGTCGACTGCGTCTGCGCAATCAAATGTAGAATACAACCACTGATCTATATAGAAGATCAGTGAATACAACACTGCATTTATTATATATGGTTTATTGCGCTATTCCTTTGAATGAATAAAATATAGAAATCCTTTACATTTCCCAAACAGCAGGCATCGTCCTCCAATAATGCGATTAAAGCGTTTCGACTGCACGCTCTGAGACACACATAATTTATTATATATGAAAATTATTATATACAGTGGCTTCTCCAACTTTTAGTGACGATTTTGTTATCTTCGACTTACGGAATGGAAACTCTGCTTTATATTCGCAATGTTATATGCGATATTCCAGTTTTGCTTCAATATTCAAGTTAAATTCGCAACTTTGGATGGAAACAGTGGACGACAACTTTATTGATCCTTACAGCCGAAGCTGTACACAGATGCAATGAAATGAGGAAAACAAATGACCAAATGCTCTTTCCATGACCACAAATCTGAGATCACCCAAAAGCAGCAAACCTTTGCATTAGGATGATTCTGAATTAAATGCAAGTTATCAAAGAAAATATATTCTTGACTCTCATTTGTATAATCAAACCTAAAAACAATTGGATAATTGCATGCAAAAAGAAAGTCCAAGGAGAAAGCACTGGCTTCCATCAAAGCTGTACAGCAGTGGCCAAAAGTGACGACCCTTCATCCAAATATTATTCAACATTAGAATAATATTGTAAGCAGATTGCGTAGTTGTGCTCAAAGTCGCAATGAAACACGCCAAATTGTGCGGTAATCATTTTTATCCAGGCTGTCATACAAAGAAACGATGATGAACACGTGCAAAAACAAGAGAACCGAGGAAATATGAATAACTGATCATGCTTTAGTCAATGTATGCTGTTTCCGGAGCTTTTTTTTTCTATGCATTTTTGTTGCTTAGTAAAACAAATACTGTAGCTGTGGTTTGCCTTTTTTTGCTGAATAATTTTGTCATATTTTAAAATATTTTCCTCATATTTTGATGGTTTAATCGAACTTGTAGGATTATGAAATAATATCCTATGTATCTATGTATTAAATAATATCCTGTAACCAAATATCCCTTCCGGACATCGCTTTTGGCCACTACTGTACATCTTGCTGAGGCTGAAAAATAAAGCCCTATATTATCCTATGGGTAAAAATACTCTGGCTATGTAACAATGACAACAATGCACTTAAAGGGTTAGTTCACCCAAAAATGAAAATTATGTCATTAATGACTCCCCCTCATGTCGTCCCAAGACCTCCGTTCATCTTCAGAACACAGTTTAAGATATTTTAGATTTAGTCAGAGAGCTTTCTGTCCCTCCATTGAAAATGTGTGTACGGTATACTGTCCTTGTTCAGAAAGGAAATAAAGACATCATCAAAGTAGACCATGTGACATCAGTGGGTTAGTTAGAATGATTTGAAGCATCGAAAATACATTTTGGTCCAAAAATAACAAAAACTAGGACTTTATTCAGCATTGTATTGTGTTCCGGTTCTGTTGTGGATCCGCGTTCAGTGCCGCCGCTGACGTAAGACGCTGCTGACGTGTGTCTGGTGTAAAACGAAAAGGCCTAGTTTTTGTTATTTTTGGACCAAAATGTATTTTCGATGCTTCAACACATTCTAACTAACCCACTGGTGTCACATGGACTACTTTGATGATGTCTTTATTTCCTTTCTGGACAAGGACAGTATACCGTACATACATTTTCAATGGAGGGACAGAAAGCTCTCGGACTAAATCTAAAATATCTTAAACTGTGTTTCAAAGATGAACGGAGGTCTTACGGGCTTGGGACGACATGAGGGCGAGTCATTAATGACATCCTTTTCATTTTTGGGTGAACTAACCCTTTAAAGCACCACTAGCCAGTGTTGGCTATATGTAAACCTGGCCATGTTTCCCACAGGCACTCACCAGTCTGCTGATCTCCTCCTGTCGGTCTGGTGCTGATCTCGCTGTGGCTTTGATCATGGTGGAGGTTTGATTATCTGTCAGTTTCTTGATGCACCGCTGCCCTGCTACAATGTTGCACACCTACGAGAACAGCAAAGCGTATAAGAACAGAGACTGTGGTCTATGGCCATCCCAGCGTGAGGAGGACAGGACTCACCTCCAGGGGCAGGTAGGTGTGTTTCTGCTCCTGGCCCACCTGTAGACAGGGCAGGTGCGGGTATTTCAGCTGCAGGTTGTACTTCTGCTTGAAGTATTGAGCCACTGTACATTCTACCGTCTGTCCGCTTTCAAGCTGCAGGGGAAACCTGGGGACACGATTGATATGGAGCTAATAATATGACAAAATGATTTGAATTTGAATTGTGTAAATTTTAATTATTTGCAAGTGTAATCTAACAAAATTGAATTTTAGGTGGTAGTTTAAATAGTTCTGAATTTGATTTTTTTAAACTAATATTGAACATTTGAAATTTAACAAATTGAAAGGTTTTTATGGCTGAATTTTATAGACATGTATTTTCAAACAGCTAGTTTTTTTGTTCTGAATTCAAATACTGCAAATATTCAGTTTAAAAAAATACAGAATCAAGTTTTCAAGATGAAGAAATTCGGAACTTCAAATTCAGTTTTCTAAAATTCAATCTCAAAAATTCAAACTCAAAAATTCAGGTCTTACAGAAAGTAGGTCACAGGTCATCCACAGGGAAGAGTAGATGATCTCAGAAAAGTCGAACAGAGCATTTTGGTCCATTAGGGACTGCAGAAGGTTTCTTAAACATGAATGATTTTGTGTTTGTTAGCGTTCTCATCACGTGAGACATTTGTCTAAGCAGTCTCTGGTGTTTGTTTTAAAGTATATTTTGTGTAAAATTGATTAGAACGCCACTGTGTCACCTACAAAGACAGGACGAGAGCGGCGCGGCGCGACGCAACACAGTGCTTGAAGCGACTGTTGCAAAGAGCTGAGGATGGGGAAATAGGATGGGGAATCCGTGTGCTGTTGGGGATTTCACGGGTCGCGTCGCTCCGCTCGCGTCTGGTCTAGACTGCGTCGTACATGTATGGCGTTATATATGTGCCTCATTCCTGAGCGAGTAATTGTAAGTTTTGAGCACAGAGAACTATATTTTGCAAGCACTTTGCATTATATTTTGAACAGAAATTAACAATCGCAAAAAAAAAATTCGTTTGAGCAAAGAAAAAACGATTCCGTGCTCAATACATGTATTTGCTATTATCCATATTAACGTGCAATAATAACTCCTCTCACGCAGTTTACTCAGGTGCTCTCTCACAAACTTATTCTCTGCGCTCCAGTCAAGTCCCTCTCTCTCTCTCTCAACCTCTTAATTCTGTGCGCGCTCAACTCTTGACACACGCGCGCTCAACTCTTGACACACGCGCGCTCAACTCTTGATACACACGCGCGCTCAACTCTTGACACACGCGCGCTCAACTCTTGATACACACGCGCGCTCAACTCTTGACACACACGCACGCTCAACTTACAAGTGTGCCACAAAATCAACCAATCGGAAAATTAGAGGTCAATTGTGATTGGCTGTTGGTCTCCAATCACCACGCAGTACAAAGAAGAAGAAAAAGGAATTTTATGGATAGATGTCTTCTCTAGTATGGAATGCCAAAGCTGACTTAATTAAAAATAAATAAATACATAAATAAATAAATATACGAAGAAATGCAAAAAAGCAAAAATACATAAACAAATATACAAAGAAATGTAAAAAAAAAATACAAAGAAATGAGTATTTATACTTTTATTTCCTTATTTATGTATAATTGTACTTTTTTCACACATTTTTTATTTATACATTTATTTATTTCCACTTTTATTTATTTACACATTTATATATTGTATTGTATTATATAAATTGATTTCCAGGGGCGATCAGCATCATATACTGCATGTCCAGTTCTTAATATTAATCGATAAACTACTCAGTTATTATAATAATAAGGCACTATGGCTGTTATCAGTAAAATAAAATTGACAAAAGTCATTAAGTCATTAAAAGTCAAAATCTTAATACAGAGGAGAATGTTTTTACACTGCAATTACAATTGCATAAAAGTCGTAATGAGATTAAAGTTAAAAATAAAACATTTGAATATAGAAATATGAAATGATGGAATCAATTAAATTGTATGTTTAAATATGAAACTAAAACAGCCAGTAGGTGGCGGTAAGTCACTGTCTTAAACGAGTGAGTCATATCATTAATTCAGACCGATTCATTCAAATACTGATTCATTCAGTTCGGGAATAAAATTATCTCATACATGGGCTTTTTTACAGCATTTTTAAATGCTGACATTTTTTATTAATGTTGGTGCCACGTCGCCCCGCCATAATTTTGATACCTGAGCTGTACAGTTGAACATAACACGTGGTGTTTTTTCCCCGAAGTTCAGTATTTGAATGAATCGGTCTGAAATAATGATATGACTCACTCGTTTAAGACAGTGACTTACCGCCACCTACTGGCTGTTTTAGTTTCATATTTAAACATACAATTTAATTGATTCCATCATTTCATATTTCTATATTCAAATGTTTTATTTTTAACATTAATCTCATAACGACTTTTATGCAATTGTAATTGCAGTGTAAAAACATTCTCCTCTGTATTAAGATTTTGACTTTTAATGACTTAATGACTTTTGTTAATTTTATTTTACTGATAACAGCCATAGTGCCTTATTATTATAATAACTGAGTAGTTTATCGATTAATATTAAGAACTGGACATGCAGTATATGATGCTGATCGCCCCTGGAAATCAATTTATATAATACAATACAATATATAAATGTGGAAATAAATAAAAGTGGAAATAAATAAATGTATAAATAAAAAATGTGTGAAAAAAATACAATTATACATAAATAAGGAAATAAAAGTATAAATACTCATTTCTTTGTATTTTTTTTACATTTCTTTGTATATTTATTTATGTATTTTTGCTTTTTTGCATTTCTTCGTATATTTATTTATTTATGTATTTATTTATTTTTAATTAAGTCAGCTTTGGCATTCCATACTAGAGAAGACATCTATCCATAAAATTCCTTTTTCTTCTTCTTTGTACTGCGTGGTGATTGGAGACCAACAGCCAATCACAATTGACCTCTAATTTTCCGATTGGTTGATTTTGTGGCACACTTGTAACGCTGTTGCAAGTTGAGCGTGCGTGTGTGTCAAGAGTTGAGCGCGCGTGTGTATCAAGAGTTGAGCGCGCGTGTGTCAAGAGTTGAGCGCGCGTGTGTATCAAGAGTTGAGCGCGCGTGTGTCAAGAGTTGAGCGCGCGTGTGTCAAGAGTTGAGCGCGCGTGTGTCAAGAGTTGAGCGCGCGTGTGTCAAGAGTTGAGCGCGCGTGTGTATCAAGAGTTGAGCGCGCAGTTGAGCGCGCGTGTGTCAAGAGTTGAGCGTGCGTGTGTCAAGAGTTGAGCGCGCACAGAATTAAGAGGTTGAGAGAGAGAGAGAGGGACTTGACAGGAGCGCAGAGAATAAGTTTGTGAGAGAGCACCTGAGTAAACTGCGTGAGAGGAGTTATTATTGCACGTTAATATGGATAATAGCAAATACATTTATTGAGCACGGAATCGTTTTTTCTTTGCTCAAACGAATTTTTTTTTTGCGATTGTTAATTTCTGTTCAAAATATAATGCAATGTGCTTGCAAAATATAGTTCTCTGTGCTCAAAACTTACAATTACTCGCTCAGGAATGAGGCACATATATAACGCCATATACATGTAGCCTAGTAAGCATAAGGTACGAGTGTGAATTAGCCATTAAATGTCTTACAATAAGCCTACCTACCTAATGCAATTGTCCTTCAATATTAAAGTCTTCTCTACTGATTGATGACTGACTCAGTAATAAAGACGGTCTTTGCCGCCATCTAAAATTACAGGTGAAATATTTTAACTTATGCTGCTGTTCACGGCCAGGGACTATATTTTTCAAGCGGAAGGTAGGCTTTTGGTGATTTTATTCATGAAAGTTGCACTAATATATATATATATTTTTTTTTAACTTTAATATGATCATTGAGTGGTAATCGCTTTAGAAAACAATAAGGTACTCAAGGCTAGTGCTGTCTCGTGAATAAGTCACGTCTGTCGGCCGTTTCACACCGCATGCGTGAGCAGCGCGTATTTCTTTCGGCGTGCATGAGTGCATCCACACCGGGAGCAGAAGAAGCGCGTGAGCGTCGAGCAGGAGCGGCGCGTGAGCAGCAGTGAAGCGGGGGTTTCGCAGGGGGTTTCGGCGTCGAATCTGTTTTTGCTGCACTTCTCCACGCTCAATTAAAGTAAATACACTTTTGATGGACAAAATTTCACACAAAAAGTGCCCAAAATGCACAGAATAAGCACGTCTAGTGAGTTTTAACAAGAACTTGAGTAGGCAAAAAAAAAGAAGAAAATGAAGACTAAAAAATAGTTAGGCCTATAGAAGATTAGGCTACCTCTTTAAACTTGTTTTTAATTATTCAGTTTGGGTGAATATATATTTTATAAATATATATTATATTTAAAATAAATATAATGGTGTATTATATTTATTTTAAATATATATATATATATATATATATATATATATATATATATATATACACTCACCGGCCACTTTATTAGGTACACCTGTCCAACTGCTCGTTAACACTTAATTTCTAAGCAGCCAATCACATGGCGGCAACTCAGTGCATTTAGGCATGTAGACATGGTCAAGACAATCTCCTGCAGTTCAAACCGAGCATCAGTATGGGGAAGAAAGTTGATTTGAGTGACTTTGAACGTGGCATGATTGTTGGTGCCAGAAGGGCTGGTCTGAGTATTTCAGAAACTGCTAATCTACTGGGATTTTCACGCACAACCATCTCTAGGGTTTACAGAGAATGGTCCGAAAAAGAAAAAACATCCAGTGAGCGGCAGTTCTGTGGGCGGAAATGCCTTGTTGATGCCAGAGGTCAGAGGAGAATGGCCAGACTGGTTCGAGCTGATAGAAGGGCAACAGTGACTGAAATAACCACTCGTTACAACCGAGGTATGCAGCAAAGCATTTGTGAAGCCACAACACGCACAACCTTGAGGCGGATGGGCTACAACAGCAGAAGACTCCACCGGGTACCACTCATCTCAAGGCTACAATTTGCAAGAGCTCACCAAAATTGAACAGTTGAAGACTGGAAAAATGTTGCCTGGTCTGATGAGTCTCGATTTCTGTTGAGACATTCAGATGTTAGAGTCAGAATTTGGCGTAAACAGAATGAGAACATGGAACCATCATGCCTTGTTACCACTGTGCAGGCTGGTGGTGGTGGTGTAATGGTGTGGGGGATGTTTTCCTGGCACACTTTAGGCCCCTTAGTGCCAATTGGGCATCGTTTAAATGCCACGGCCTACCTGAGCATTGTTTCTGACCATGTCCATCCCTTTATGGCCACCATGTACCCATCCTCTGATGGCTACTTCCACCATGTCACAAAGCTCGAATCATTTCAAATTGGTTTCTTGAACATGACAATGAGTTCACTGTACTAAAATGGCCTCCACAGTCACCAGATCTCAACCCAATAGAGCATCTTTGGGATGTGGTGGAACGGGAGATTCGCATCATGGATGTGCAGCCGACAAATCTGCGGCAACTGTGTGATGCCATCATGTCAATATGGACCAAACTCCCTGAGGAATGCTTCCAGCACCTTGTTGAATCTATGCCACGAAGAATTGAGGCAGTTCTGAAGGCAAAAGGGGGTCCAACCCGTTACTAGCATGGGGTACCTAATAAAGTGGCCGGTGAGTGTATATATTAATGGTGTATTATATATATAAAAAAACTAGTGTAAACTAGCCAGAAAATATTATATATAATTTAAACTTTCTTTTAGTTTATGTAACACAGACAGCTACAACCCAAATTAAACCCAAGTGTGCGGTTTTGTGTGTGTGTGTTTTGTAGTCTTGTAAACATATCGAAAGTATGACTGAAACGAATAGATTGGAGCTGTTTTCTGGGTTGTTTTGTTGTTTAACATTTATGTGAATGTTGTACACCTCCCCATAACAAACTTTCAAGACTATCAATTTTATAGGCTAAATTACCAACTTCTAAAACTTCGTTGTAAAGAATTGCTCGCTTATATATGTAGCTTTGGAGCCGAGCTGCTGTGACTGTACAAAAGCTTCCAGTGTGAATACTCTCGCCCGTCTGCAGCTGCAGTGGCGATGTAGTTACGCTGACGCGCTGCTCAAGTGCCGCTCACGGATGCGGTGTGAAACGGCCGTGAAGCACTCCGGTTCGCGTCGTATTCACGATACAGCACACCCTCTCGTACCTTATGCTTACTTGTACGAACGACGCAGATCTAGACCGGACGCGAGCGGAGCGACGCGACCCGTGAAATCCCCAATAGCACACGGATTCCCCATCCTATTTGTGACCATTGCAACAGTCGCTTCAAGCACTGTGTTGTGCCGCGCCGCTCGCGTCCTGTCTTTGTAGGTGACGTGACACAGTGGCGTTCTAATCAATTTTACACAAAATATACTTTAAAACAAACACCAGAGACTGCTTAGACAAATGTCTCACGTGATGAGAACGCTAACAAACACAAAATCATTCATGTTTAAGAAACCTTCTGCAGTCCCTAATGGACCAAAATGCTCTGTTCGACTTTTCTGAGATCATCTACTCTTCCCTGTGGATGACCTGTGACCTACTTTCTGTAAGACCTGAATTTTTGAGTTTGAATTTTTGAGATTGAATTTTAGAAAACTGAATTTGAAGTTCCGAATTTCTTCATCTGAACAAAAAAACTAGCTGTTTGAAAATACATGTCTATAAAATTCAGCCATAAAAACCTTTCAATTTGTTAAATTTCAAATGTTCAATATTCGTTTAAAAAAATCAAATTCAGAACTATTTAAACTACCACCTAAAATTCAATTTTGTTAGATTACACTTGCAAATAATTCAAATTTACACAATTCAAATTCAAATCATTTTGTCATATTATTAGCTCCATAGATTGACAGGATCAAGACTTAAATCCAAATTGGCAGTTATCTTACAAACTATTTGACGGCAGAAAACAAAGATGCACTTCATTGGGATACACATGTAAGTGTATGTCGCACATCAATGTTAAACATGCAAATAACAATTTTAACCCAGGGTTTACTCATGCACAATGTGAAATTAGTGATGCACCGAATTTTCTAAAGATTTCATTTAGCCGAAAACCAAATAATAATCATTTAATCACATTTATCAATCCTCAAATAAAACTGTTGCATATAAACATTTAAATTCCACAAGTCAATTTTTATATCAACTTTTTAATGATATGAACTCCAGTTCGTTGTTGATAGATATTTAATCTACAGGTGAAACTCGAAAAATTAGAATATCGTGCCAAAGTTAATTTATTTCAGTAATTCAACTTAAAGGGTGAAACTAATATATTATATAGACTGATTACATGCAAAGTGAGATATTTCAAGTCTTTATTTGTTATAATTTTGATGATTATGGCTGATGAAAACCTTCTCACAATATTCAAATTTTGAATTTGGGGTTTTCATAAGCTGTAAGCCATAATCATAAATATTATAACATATAAAGGCTTGAAATATCTCACTTTGCATGTAATGAGTCTATACAATATATTAGTTTCACCTTTTAAGTTGAATTACTGAAATAAATGAACTTTGGCACGATATTCTAATTTTTCGAGTTTCACCTGTATATACCACTTTTTAGCTCACTGCAGTTTTAAGGGAAAAGTACTCAGCAATGGAGTTGACTTATGATTTTTTACATGGTTTGTCTTAAAGCATATTAAAACACCAAATAGACATTTAAACAACATTAAAAGCTTGCTTTTCATCACAGGGGGACTTTAAGTTAAATATAATGAATAGAGCTTATATTTAGCAAAATGCTGCTAGAGTTATTTAAAGAGACACTGATAACACTGAAAGGCAGTTTAAAATGCACCATTTGAGAAGCGCTAATTAAACGTCACCATTTCGGGTTATGATTTCGTCCCTCCAAAACTGTTTTGGCCACCGCCGTAAATTCATTTTCTGACAAATATTTTAAGTTGCATCACTGAGTGAAATATCAAAAACTAACTCAAAGAAGGAACATTATGAAAAATGGAACAAGTGTGAACTCCCAAATGAAAATGACACTATTGCTCTGTTTCCAGAACTATACTCACGTTTGGTGACTAGCAGGGCGACGCGTGACGTTACAGACGCGGTACTTCCGTTTCATTTGACCACAGTGCGTGACCTCCACCTTCAGACCTGGAAATGTCCACCGGAAAAAAACTTAAGCAGGATTAAGAAGCTTGTTATGGCTATTGTTATTTGAGGTTTTCAAAACAACAGCAGCTCAAACTACAAAACTAGACTGCATGAATTATAAATCAACAAATCTGTCTACACTTCAAGCATTCGGTTTAATTGACGGACACCTCGTTTCTGTTTTTGTCATGCTGCTCCTCTAGCCAACTTATTTTACAGTTCCCTGCACCAGAATCTCGGCATTTCACCAGTGTTAGAAACTGGGCGGCACTCACAGCCACGGCAGGGTACCAATTACAGTCTTCAGTATAAGACTAAAAACGTATTCCCTTTGGAATGCTTGATTTTGTTTTTGGGCTCAACTAGAATAGGTTTTCATGCTTGAAGTTCAAAATCACATTATTTTCCCCATTTTCTCCATTGTTGTGGCTCCTCTCTTCCCAGTCTGTCAGTAACGCTCTGTTTAGTTCCTGTCTCTATGAAGCCCCTCCTTCTGAAAAGCACACTGTGCTCTGATTGGTCGGCTGGAGCAGTGTGTTGTGATTGGTCGAGCGCTTCGAGTGTGTTTGGGAAATGTCCCGCTCTTACCATAACCTCCAAATTCAACACACTACTAACTAACTCAACCAGGCCCCGCCCCTTTATTCTGCGTATTAATTATTTAAATGAGGAATATTGTGACGTGTTCGTTCCCGGAAGAAACTCAAGACTACAATGGAGGCGTTTCAGGGAGTGACAGCAACATTACACACAAAGAAGAAAGATGAACATGTAAAAAAGCATTATAGTACCACTTTAAATCGATTTCTGTATAAAAGCATGATATCAAAATGACTCATCCAATTCGATTTAACAAATAAATTACAAGGCAAAGCCGTGGCAGGGTGCTGAGATCATCCAATGACCTCACCTGATACTTCATCTCAAACTAGTAGGGGTGTAAAAGCACACATCTTTTCACGAATGCAGCATTGTTTTAACCACTGCACATGCAGGACTTCACGGTGTGTGCGGAGTAAAATTTTAAAACTCTCGAGTTTCCCACTTGGATGGGATAATACACTTTATATCGATATACTTTGAGGCGAATGCATCTGAAAAACAATAAAGGATACAGAGTGAACTGCTGTGTGAGAAGTGCATGATCCAAGTTATCCTAAACATGAGATGTGCTTTATAAGTGCTTCAAACACACTCATAACCATACAGTTTACAGCGGCTCGCCCTCCTGTCAGATGTGTGTGCGGTTTAATGATTAAAGTCGGCATGAAACGGAAGTCTTTTTTTCTCTATTGTGACTGTATATCTGAGTGAAATTGCTTCTGGAACAAGAACAAATGTAGGGCGGGGCTTAATTATGTCCATGGGGAATTGATTGGATGGTTGTGGTTTGCTATAGAGAGCCTAAGCCCCTCCCCTCCGCTTCCGGCTCATGGGACCTTATTTTGGAAAAAATATGTATGGTAGTCAATGGCGAGAGACGACTTATCTTTTTATTCCGTCTGAACTGTGCCCTGAATTACACATATGATCTTTGTCAATTTAAAAGATAATTATGAAAGTCAAGAAAGGCGCAGTTTGTCATAAAACAGAAGAGTAACATTTAGTTTTATGTGAAAATCGCTCAATGAACTACATCTCCCGGGAAGCGAAACAACGAGCGAGATCCGCTGCTCGTGTGTGTGCAGTCTGGTACAAAACACTCGATGATGGCGTAACGTTACGATTATAACGCAAGACTAGAGAAACAATGACAGACGTTAGCTTCAGTAAAGTTAGCTTCATTCATTGAGAGAAAATGTGCGCCTTTGGGGTTTGTAGTCTTTACGTATTTTCACAGTCTTATACCTCAACAGTTTTACATCAAACTGCGACTTTCTTGACTTTAAAATGTATCTTTTAAATTGACAAACATCATATGTGTAATTCAGGGCACAATTCATACGAGATAAAAATATTTGTTGTCTCTCGCCATTGACTACAAAACAATATTTTTCCGAAATAAGGTCCCATGGTGGTTGACCGGAAGGGGAGGGGCTTAGGCTCTCTATTGGATGATGTCATGTGATTGACAGGTTGCCCCGCCCTAGTCATCAGAGAAGAGAAGAGCTGCAAGAGGGAGGGGGAGTTTTTCTAACTAAAGATTACCAGGAACATGAATTTAACAAAACAACGATGTGCACGGATAAATCATTCATAAATACTACAGTATTCCATAAAAAAAAGAAAGGGTTGTCATTATTGATTTCATGGTGACGCACTCGTTTTCCTCAGTGAATAACTCATATCTTACGGTTTTATCCTTTATCTGTAAATGTTAGTATTTCCATTTTGCATAAAGGCTCTTCCTGACGGCAAGCGAATCTCCAATAATCTTCACAGGCGCACGTCAAACAGACAGAGTGCATTAATAACATACATTTTGTCAACATATTTTGCCTCTCTTCCCTTATTTACAGCAGGACCATAAACTGTAGTATGAGGAGTGTGTTGCATTGGATGACAGACCTTTTTATTTAACTTTTTTTTTTTTTTTTCAGTAAACCACTGTTTAATAAAAAATCGTTTTTCCCTTCGCCTTACCGAATTTCATTTCATTTGTCATTTTTCTGATGGCTGTTATCATGCAGGTGCTAAGGTGTTGCCAGGTTACTTTGTGTGATTGTTTGAATGTTGCTAGGCAGTTGCTAGGCAGTTGCTAAGGTGTTCAGAATGAAGGAGAACCCCACCTTTGATCTCCTTGGTGAAACGGACCCTTTGCGAGTCCGTAAGTGTCTTGGGCTGCTCATCAATGTTGCGGATATCCAGAACTTCACACATGAACTCAATGACAGGCTGAGCTTTATAAAAGGCCGTTGCAGATACTGAAAACAAAAACAGAGTTTGTATATTTAAGTACAAAACATTGACGTTTCTGACATTAAATAAGTGAGCAATCAAGAGAGAAAAAAAAGACGTCACCGTCGATGTTGAGCATCATCTTCCACATGGCTGGCCGGACAGACTGATGGAAGCCGAACCACACCTCCCTGCCTCCACCCAGAGGATGGTAATATCCTTCAGGAGGGGAAAAGAAGGAGCGTCCCACTGGAGTGTACCTGCAGATGAGAAAGACGGATGGTCCAATAGCTCCAAATCGTACTGTAGTGTGTAATATGGCTGTTTGTGAAGTTTTAAAGATGAACATGCATGACAAATAGAGTCATTGTCTCCCAAAAGAAAGAAGCGATTCTGAATTGCCTAAAAAAAACGAGTCGTCAGCAATGAACCTCCATAGGTTTGCATGATGCCAGACTATGGTGTTCATTGGCTGCCTCCGAACAACGTCTACTTTGACCCTCAAACACTAGTTGTAGCTGAGACTACAAGTCGAGAAAAGTCGAGAAGACGCTGTTTTCTGCTCTGCAAATCCACGCTGATGCACTTTCCAAAGAATGAAACTCTGGCTCGAATTGATATGGTAAAACCGACGCCATCATTACTGTTTATAGAGTTTAGAGAGGCCGAATCCTTTATCGAATCGTTTCAGACACTGTGAGAAAAGAGCTGATGCTGCAGAAAATGTAAGTGTTTTAAAGTGCCCTTGGATGCATGTACACTTGTTGTAGGAGACTCCAAAACAAAATAAGGAGCCTTTAAAATAGCAGAATAGGTGCATTTAAAAAATGTAAAATAATAGGGCCCTATGAAACATTTCATTTTTCTGGAATTAATTTTTTACTGTGTTTTCAGTAAAAAAAAAATCTGAATTTATGATTTAATACAAATGTATCATTAAAAACAGCAATCAAGACATTTTTTAACTATTTAATTAATCTTTTAAAATGTAACTGAAACGTTTACTGATAACACTAAAACATGGTAGAAAAAATGTGTGCTATTCCTTGGAAACAAAAAGTAAAAAAAAATTATTATTATAATTCTATGAATAATAATAATAATAATTTTGCACTTCAGAATTCCTGGACACTATTATATTTTGTGATTCGATTAATTATACAGCACTACGTTTAATTAATTTTAAAAAAATGGTCAAATTTCGTTACATTCTATTACTGTATTCCATTACTGCATTCTTTTACTGCATTCTATTACTGCATTCTATTACTGTATTCTATTACTGCATTCTATTACTGCATTCTATTACTGCATTCTATTACTGTATTCTATTACTGCATTCTATTACTGTATTCTATTACTGTATTCTATTACTGTATTCTATTACTGTATTCTATTACTGTATTCCATTACTGCATTCTATTACTGCATTCTATTACTGTATTATATTACTGTATTCTATTAATGTATTCCATTACTGCATTCTATTACTGCATTCTATTACTGTATTATATTACTGTATTCCATTACTGCATTCTATTACTGCATTCTATTACTGTATTCCATTACTGCATTCTATTACTGCATTATATTACTGTATTCTATTACTGTATTCCATTACTGTATTCTATTACTGTATTCCATTACTGCATTCTATTACTGTATTATATTACTGTATTCCGTTACTGCATTCTATTACTGTATTCCATTACTGCATTCTATTACTGTATTCCATTACTGCATTCTATTACTGTATTCTATTACTGTATTCTATTACTGTATTCCATTACTGTACCCATTACTGCATTCTATTACTGCATTCCATTACTGTATTCTATTACTGTATCCATTACTGCATTCTATTACTGTATTCTATTACTGTATTCTATTACTGCATTCTAATACTGTATTCTATTACTGTATTCCATTACTGTATTCTATTACTGTATTCTATTACTGCATTCTATTACTGCATTCTATTACTGCATTCCATTACTGTATTCTATTACTGCATTCTATTACTGTATCCATTACTGTATTCTATTACTGCATTCTATTACTGCATTCTATTACTGCATTATATTACTGTATCCATTACTGCATTCTATTACTGTATTCTATTACTGTATTTCATTACTGCATTCTATTACTGTATCCATTACTGCATTCTATTACTGTATTCTATTACTGTATTCTATTACTGCATTCTATTACTGTATTCTATTACTGTATTCCATTACTGTATTCTATTACTGTATTCTATTACTGTATTCCATTACTGTATTCCATTACTGCATTCTATTACTGCATTCTATTACTGTATTATATTACTGTATTATATTACTGTATTCCATTACTGCATTCTATTACTGCATTATATTACTGTATTCCATTACTGCATTCTATTACTGCATTCTATTACTGTATTCTATTACTGTATTCCATTACTGCATTCTATTACTGTATTATATTACTGTATTCCATTACTGTATTCCATTACTGTATTCCATTACTGCATTCCATTACTGTATTCCATTACTGCATTCTATTACTGCATTCTATTACTGCATTCTATTACTGTATTCTATTACTGCATTCTATTACTGCATTCTATTACTGTATTCCATTACTGTATTCCATTACTGTATTCCATTACTGCATTCTATTACTGCATTCTATTACTGCATTCTATTACTGTATTCTATTACTGCATTCTATTACTGCATTCCATTACTGTATTCCATTACTGCATTCTATTACTGCATTCTATTACTGCATTCTATTACTGTATTCTATTACTGCATTCTATTACTGCATTCTATTACTGTATTCCATTACTGTATTCCATTACTGTATTCCATTACTGCATTCTATTACTGTATTATATTACTGTATTCCATTACTGTATTCCATTACTGTATTCCATTACTGCATTCCATTACTGTATTCCATTACTGCATTCTATTACTGCATTCTATTACTGCATTCTATTACTGTATTCTATTACTGCATTCTATTACTGTATTCTATTACTGCATTCTATTACTGTATTCTATTACTGTATTCCATTACTGTATTCTATTACTGTATTCTATTACTGTATTCCATTACTGTATTCCATTACTGCATTCCATTACTGCATTCTATTACTGTATTATATTACTGTATTCCATTACTGTATTCCATTACTGTATTCCATTACTGCATTCTATTACTGCATTCTATTACTGTATTCTATTACTGTATTCCATTACTGTATTCTATTACTGTATTCCATTACTGCATTCTATTACTGCATTCTATTACTGTATTCCATGTTATACATTAAATTCCATTTTCACGACTGGATTCCGTGATTCTGTCTGCGCTTCCTGTATCGCTGATATCATAGTGCCAGGTTGCCCGTGCCCTGCACGCCCATGCCCAGCGTACCTCATGGAGGCCAGGTGTCTCATGGCCACGTCGAGGGCTTGGACAGATTCCAGCGGGACCTGCAGACGTCCACTGACCAGCGTCTCCTGCAACAGCCTCCACGACACCTTCGCCAGCCAACGAATGGACACTTTAAAGATGCGATCTTTCCCCTCTCCAGGGATGGTCACCTCGAAGTCAACCTACGACATGAAATTACATTGGAAATTACATTGATTACAATTAAAGGGTTACTTTTTGTGCGCAAAAAACAAACAAAAATAACGACTTTATTTAACTATTCATTTCCTTCTCTGTGGGCCTCGAGTGAGTTCACGTAGTGAAACTACGCAACGCTTCTGGGTTGTACGTGTGAGACAGCTCTCAGATTTAATCAAAAATATCTTAATTTGTGTTCCGAAGATGAACGAAAGTCTTACGGGGTTGAACAACATGAGGGAGAGTAATTACTGACAGAGTTTTCATTTTGGGGTGAACTAACCCTTTAAGGCTATGGAAGGCTTGGCGATATTCATGTCATGTTGCTTTGAAACTGATCAATGAGTTTTAGAACCGATTCATTGAAACAGGATGTTTGAAACTAGTTTAATGAAAGGAATGTATTGGAAATTTAAAAGGTACACTATGCCCTCTAGTGTTTAAAAAACAAAACTACATGCATTTTGCAGAAGAACATTGTTTTGTTTGTGCTTGGGCTCTGCGTGATGAATATGTTTATCCTAATGCTCATAAAACATTCCCTACTAGGCTTAAGAGATATAACCAGTTTAGATGGAAATATCTCAAGCACGGGCGAGTGACATATGTACGCAAATGTCCACGACAACCATCCCGTCAGGTCTAAAATAAAAAAAGGCTTACCATCGTGAATCAGGGTAAGACAAAAACACGTTTTGGAAGAAGGAGTGATGTATATTGACTCATTATTTAAATGGTTAATTTTGAACAAAATAAGTTACATAGTGTACCTTTAATAGCCAAATATATATTATATATATATATATATATATATATATTGTGAATCGCATTCTCATCAATTAAATAATCTACATACCTTTTCGCTGCCTATAGGTAATGCTAAAACAGTGTAGATATTCTTCTTCCCATCGTACACTGGCTTTCGGTCACCAAAGAGCTGCGGTTTGAAATGTTGGACCATGTATTCCACAACCTCCCTGTGAAGAGTCACATTTAACTGTGATTATTCATATTTCATAAAACCTGATCAAAACATTATTTTGTGATAATGACCGGCTGAATGTACCAGATCTAACTCAATACACAACCACTGCCAAATATATACATATATACATGGACACACATAACCATTCAAATGTTTTGGATTTTAAAATATTTTTGAAAGAAGCCTCTTCTGCTCACCAGGGCTGCATTTGTTTGATCAAAAACACAGTAATATTGTGAAATATTATTACAATTTAAAATAGCTGTTTTCTATGTGAATATATTATAAACTGTCATTTATTTCCTGTGATCAAAGCTGAATTTTCAGCATCATTACTCTTCATTTCAATTATTATCTTTATTATCATTTAATGATGAAAACAGTTGTGCTGCAGCTTCAGATTTTTGTAGAAACTGATACATTATTTTTTTGATACATACATCTATTCCACAAGGAACAGAAAGTTCAAAAGAACAGCATTTATTTGAAATAGAAATATTTTGTAACATTAAAAATATCTTTACTGTCACTTCTGATCAATGTTATGTCCTTGTTGAAGAAGACAATTAAGAAAAAAACTTTTTGACCCCAAACTTTTGAACTGTAGTATAAAATATGATTTGTGTAATAATAATAATAATAACAATAATGAATTTCATTTTTTTTTTTTTTATAAATGAATGCATTAAACCTAAATTTTAAACCCAATTTGATTTACAAAATCAAATCGATTTAATTTTTTAAAAATCAAATTGCATTTAAATACGGGTTAAGAAAAATGACTTAAAGTAGTGGACAAATACTTCATATATAAATCAATACTTATATAAATAAATCCTCTAATCAAAAACAACTGTTGAGCTGTAACAGGCAATGTCGCTGTGTAAGTGAAAACATGATTTTCAGATTATTTGCATCCTTTTCTGCCTCAAAAAGTGGGTCCAAAAGCATTGAAGCGCACTAGCTCGGCTCAGTCGCGCTCATGCAGTGGTGACGGCACGAAGACGTCACGTTTCACACTCATCCTCACACTTGTGCAGACGCGTCAAGAATAAACCAGGCTTAAGTTGTATTTAACTCAGCAGGCAGAAGGCTTAGCTGAACTGAAATACAGTTACAGATGAACAGGAACCAACCGTTGTCTGTGCACGTCTACGAGAACATTTTATCTTACAACCTTTTCAGGGGAGAACAGGTTTCTTTCAAGGTCACACTTAACGTAAGAGAGGAACTGAAATATGTTGGCCCTCGCCACACTGAACCGTGCAAATCTGCCGTGTTTAACTCTACTGATCCAAACGGTTTTAGAGAATCACTTATAATAGGGGAACCTTCATATTAGAAAAAAAGCTAACTTTTATTTTCACATTTTCAGTTACCATTTCAAATTTTGTTTAATTTTTAATCATTTTGTTAGGTGCTTTAGTCATTTTTATAAGTTATTTTCATTTCTATTTACTTCAAATCATTATTTTTCATGTCATTCTACCTAATTCCAAATTCAATGTAGATAAATAACTATTATATTATATTTATTTTATATTCTTTTTAGCGCTATCAAACTGATTATTCGTGATTAATCGCATCTAACAGTTTGTGAATATATAATATATGTGTCTGTATATATATATATATATATGTATAATATATATATATATATATATATATATATATATAAAAATATACACAATATATTGTATATACACATTTTATATATACAGTATATATACATATATATATATATATATATATATGTATAAAAAAACAATATATATATATATATTATATACACAATATATTGTGTATACACATTTATATATACAGTTTATATACATATATATATATTAGTGCTGTCAAATTGATTAATTGTGATTAATAGAGTAAAATATAAGTTTGTGTTTATAAATAATATTTGTGTATAATGTGTGTATATATTATTATATTTATATATATATTTTATATATGTGAGTGTGTGTGTGTGTGTGTGTGTGTATAATAAATATATATATATATATACATATTCCGTGAATACTATATACACTGTATATACTGTATACACATATATTATATATTTACTAACTTTTATTTGTGATTAATCGCATTGACAGCACTAATTATTTTATATTATATTTAATATTAAGTCAAAATGCCATGCTGGTGAAAATTCCTCAGGAAAGACTGTGGACGTTTGAGGTGACGGGGCGTTTACCTGTTGACCGCCGAGGACACTTATCAGGTTTGATGTCCACTTCATAGTGGAACACATCCATTTTTGGGATCTCCACCTCAAAGTAGTTGGCAAGCAGCTTGATGGGTTTGCCGACGGTTGCCATGCCCGGCCTGCGGGGCGCCTGGAACACCTGCTGCAGGGGCGGGGGGGTACGGCCCGACGGGCACTGAGAGAGAGAGAGAGAGAAGAGAGAGAGAGAGAGAGAGAGAGAGAGAGAAGAGAGGAGAGAGAGAGAGAGAGAGACATTTACATTTCAATCAGACACCTCTACTTAAACAAATTCACTAACTTAATAAAGAACTTTACAGTGATGACTGAAATAGAACAGATAAAGATCATACTAGGAGAGGGACAGACAGAAGCACTGGCTGCCAGATACGTGTGTGTGTGTGTGTGTGATGTGTGTGTGTGTGTGTGTGTGTGTGCCACAGCCTGAGAGAGAGGCAGCAGGTGATGTGTGTGTGTGTAATGTGTGTATGGTGTCTGATCTCACTGTGTTTCCCTACTGTCCACCACAGTAATGTGTGTGTGTGTGAGTGTGTGTGTGTGTGTGTTAAAACACTGGTGTCAAATGTTCACACGGGTTCAAATTTGTTACACTGTTCATTTAAATTTAAGTTATGTTATAATATTTTCTTATTTTTTATGTCTTTATTATTGTTCTATGTATTCCAAGCTTTGGCAATATTCTTTTATTTACAGTCATGCCAATAAAGCAATTTTGAATTTGAGAGAGAGGAGAGAGATGAGAGAGAGAGAGAGAGAGAGAGAGAGAGAGAGAGAGAGAGAGAGAGAGAGAGAGAGAGAGAGAGAGAGAGAGAGAGAGAGAGGAGAGAGAGGAGAGAGAGAGAGAGAGAGAGATGAGAGAGGAGAGAGAGAGAGAGAAGAGAGAGAGAGAGAGAGAGGAGAGAGAGATGAGAGTGAGAAGAGAGAGAGAGAGAGGAGAGTCTGAGAGAGAGCTGAGAGCGAGCGAGAGAAGAGGTCATAGAAGAGCTGGGATACGGGTTAGAAAGGAGGGAGTTCAGGGGGAGTTTGGGGGATTATGGGACTAGAAATATGGTGACAGGAGTGTGTATGGAAACGGGACAAAAGCAGAGAAAAGGAACAAAGAGGATGGTGACTAAAACGGGAAGGGGCGGGAAGGCAATATGAGGAAAAAACGAATAAAAGAAAGTTGGGAGGATGGGGGTAAAAGTAAACTTAAGAGTGAACCCAATACTAGTGCTGCAATCCACAGCAATTTTGACAATCATTACTCATTCAATAACCAGAGAACGTTTTCCAGGACTTTCACACCTTGTCTTACAAACAATGTACTGTAAATTAAAGGCTTTATATATATATATATATATATGCATGCTATAACCACAATCGCATTAGAAGTGTATATCACAATATATGTATTTTTGCTGGAAAAAATGGTTTATATTTCAATAAGAATGGGATTTGTAACCAAAAGATTTGATCATTGATAAGTACATTGTAAATCATTATGAAACCTCTTTCAAACTACTATTTTAAAACAGTTCAGTTTAGACTTTAACTTCTGATTGTATGTGATTGTAAAGAAGCTGAAACACAAATAGATGTGTATCATAGATGCACATCAGATTAATATACAGGTGAAACTCGAACAATTTGAATATCGTGCCAAAGTTCATTTATTTCAGTAATGCGACTTAAAAGGTGAAACTAATATATTATATAGACTCATTACATGCAAAGTGAGATATTTCAAGCCTTTATTTGTTATAATTTTGATGATTATGGCTTACAGCTTATGAAAACCCCAAATTCAAAATTAGAATTTTGTGAAAATATTTCCATTTCTGTTTTCAGATCAATAAAGAAATAGGAAGATATGCATTTCAATATAAAGCACCATACGAATGGAATAACCTTCCAATTTCAATTCGCTCTTTAACTTCTTTTTCAATATTTAAGAATCACCTAGCTCAACATCTTCTGAATATATGTAATTTTTTTTTTTTTTTTTTTTTTTTTTTTACTGGAGTCATTGTAACTTGTATTTGGCATGGTACATACATTTTTGTCTGTATATGAGTTTATTTGTGTCTAGATGTGCGTTTTGGTACATATTATATGCGTTTACTTTGTTTAGGGATGAGTGCGTCACCTTTAGAGAGTCTTGGATGAGTGAATATCTTATTTGTATTGGTTTTGTTTATATATTTCTGTATTTACCATTTTTGTAAAGTATGTTTTTTTCTTTTTCCTATTGTGTATTTGCTTTTTGTTTTGTTTTTTCTGTTTTTGTTTTTTGTTATGTCATATTTGACACGTGTTGTAAGGTCAGTTTTTGTATCTAGATTTGAGGACCCCCTCGAAAACGAGATGGTTAATCTCAAGGGGTTATTCCTCCTCAATAAAATAAATGTCAAATATAATCATCAAAATTATAACAAATAAAGACTTGAAATATCTCACTTTGCATGTAATGAGTCTATACAATATATTAGTTTCACCTTTTAAGTTGAATTACTGAAATAAATTAACTTTTGCACGATATAATTTTTTTCGATATAATTTTTTTCAAAGAGTTTCACCTGTATATTAATGCTGCAAAACAGAAACAGACTTTTGGACCCAACTGTATGAAGAACCCACATCAGCGCCCACTAATATAAAGGGCTTGTTCCAATATTGTGTTGCTTTGTGTTTATTAAAGCTTGAAACAGCGCAGCCCAAAGCAAATCTGCTTCACTGTAACACAGTCGTGTACCTCACTGTTTCATCAGTC